GTTTTATTTATGAGCACATATGAGGGGATATGAGTAGTGAAGTGATCCCTAAATCTCTTAGGGTGTTAATTGAATTATTATGAATGTATATTTTTATGTTCTTGAATTTATCTAGGTAAGAACATCTAACATTTTATCTTAATAAATTCGTGAATTAATGATTGATTTGAATGACTTTGTGTATAATGAGTTAGGGTTGGATTGAATGGTTGAATTTAAAGTAAGTTTAGTAAAAAATGTAATTCCATATTATTTTGTTTGAACTAAACTATTGCATTCTAATTAACTTTTGTTTTGGTGCAGAAGTAATCAATTTCAAATAATGTTAAAGCTAGTACTAGAGAATTGTTTTAAAATGGGTAGAGTGCAGTACTTTTTTTTAAGTTGTGATTTAGTTATGTATTTTTGTTTGCAATAAAGCTTTGATCCTCAATTTTTTGGAGGATGTAAAATTTTTTTATTTTCTTCATAACACTTGGAATGGAGAAATTACAATCTCAAGCATTTATGCAGATTTGAGGAAATCTGTGCATACTTCTGCAAACATTTGATCATTTTGGCAAATATCTCAATGTTTTATTGCCTCATCTAAACACGAGGTCCCATATTCACATGTTGTGTAATGCGGTAATTTTTTCTGGCAATAGAACATTGAATCTCCAATGGTTTAAGGTTGCTAAATAACTTAAATAATTTGATAGTTGATAACATTATTGTCACTACTAGAAATATGCTTTTTTTTTTTTTGCGGATTTTACTACGAAAAGAATTTTTCATGAAATATTTGCGATTCTTTTTACAAATTAAATATTATATGAAATTTTTGTGAAAATTTTTACAAATTAAAAATTGCAGGAAATTCTTGCCAAAATTTTTGCGAAAATAAATTTACAAAAAATATCTACAAATTTTATTGCAAATATTTTTTGCACATAAAAAATTCTAAAAAAAATTTACAATTTTTTTTTCTACAAGTTTTGTTTTGTTGCAAATATAATTAATAGATAATATTTTGATGAATTATAGGAAAAGTCGTAGGAAAATTTTCCTACAAATTTTCCTGCTCATTGAAATTTTTTAATAAATTAATAATAAAAATTTTAATTAAAGAATAGTTTTTTAAATATATATTAAGTATAATTTATATTAATTTAAATTTACCAACCTCTGTTCAGATTCAGATTTGTAGAATTTTTAGAACGCATATGCTCATTCACACTTTTTCATCACTTTCGCACACTTTCTCTCTCGATTCGCACTTCCTCTCTCTCTCTCGTTACCTCTTTCACCGATCACTTTCGCACACTTTCTCTCTCGATTCACACTTCCTCTCTCTCTCGATTCGCACTTCCTCTCTCTCTCGTTACCTCTTTCACCGAGCTTTCCTAATGCTGCGATTCGACCACTCCCTACCCTAACAGGGACGAACATCCTTGTCACGAACTCCAGGAAGTACAGTATAACTATAGAAGCGGGAAGGTACGAGCTCCTCATTACTTCTTATTCGACTTCCAGGAGGAAGAAGCAAGAGTCAGGTGTGGCATTTAGGTTTCCTATCATAGTTGTTCAATAATCAATAATCAGAGAAGATCTTATTCTCTGATTTTCAATAATCGCTATCAACATAGGAATATCACGGTTATTAGGGGTTATACTTTATATAATCAATCATAACCGATTTTCCTATTCTTCCAATCCTCGCAGCGCATTTAACACCTTGAAGTTGAATTGGAATAAATTGGAAAATCATAGAACTAGGTAACTTAGGAGCTCAGGTTTCTATGGTGAAAGGTCTTGTTAGGTGTAATTATGGCTGTTTCCCAAGCAATGGAGGGGATGATTAGGAATATGGTGTTTTTTTTCAGTTGCTAATATAATGAGAGCAGAAGAAAGAAGACTTTATTTCTTATTGGTCATAAACAATGTGAGGACCCCTTTTTCCTTTTTCCTTCCCGACTCCATTTCCTCACTCACTCTAACTCTCATTTTCTCTTTACTCACTCTCACCTTCTCCTTCTTCTTGCTTCTGATTTCCTTCCTTGTGGTGACCTTGAATTGAAGGTGCCCATCAAGCCTAGGCAGGGCTAGCTGAAGATTTTCTCCTTTCTCCGTTCGCTTTCAAGTTTCTTCTTCTCCGATCTCCGCGGTCCCGAAGCTCGGATTTTCGTACCGAGGTAAGGGAAGCTAGGTTTTTCGTCGTTTTTGGATGAAATTGAGTTCTAGGAACTTATTTGGCTGCTGAAGCTTGATGATTGTGGTTGAGAATGATGAAATAAAAGGGTTTTTGGGTTTTGGGGTTTTTGAAGAAATTCTTGATTAATTCTTGTTTTGTGGTTGCATGTGGGAAATGTATCATTTTTATTGATCTTTGATGGAAATAATGGCTTTTGGCTGGACTGCATGTGTTGGAACTGGAAGTTTTTGCAGGTTTTGGACTAGATTTTCGAACTTGGTGGGTTACTGCTGAGCTGCGCGCTGGGCGCAGTTCTTTTTGCCGGGCGCGTGACCACCTGGGGGCTTCATTTGGGCAAGCCCGCCGGGCGCAAAGGTGTGTGCGTCGGGCGAGCTTGTGAATGTGAGCCTCTGGATGGCCCACGTCGGGCGTGGCTTGGACTACGCCGGGCGCGCTATCAGTAGGTGGTCTGATTTGGGGGTTTCTGGTTCCGCGCTAGGCGCGCGTTTGGATTCGCTGAGCGCGGAGGCTCCTTGGGGGTCTCTGCCAAGAGGGCGTTGGGCGCAATGCGAATTGCGCCGGGTGCGAGACCTTGGTAGGTCTCTGCCTTACCCACGCTGGGCGTGAGTTAGGCTACGCCGGGCACATGAGACTCCTGAGAGTCTCTGCCTGGGCTTGCGCTGGGCGCAATTGAGTATTGCGCCATGCGCGAGAGAGCCTTGAGCTCTCTGATTGAGGCATGCCGGGCGCGAGCATGTTTGCGCCGGGCACGCTGGCCCTCTGGTGCCTCTGGATGTGCCACGCCGGGCGCACCCATGAGTGCGCCGGGCGCGTATGAGGATGTTGACTTGATGAGTTATTAGTTATTTAACCTTGCTGAACTTGCTGAAAGTGGTTGTTTTATACTGAACTAAGCTGAATTAGATGTTTATGTTGTGCTAACTAGTTGTTATTACTGAAAAATGTGATGTTGAGCGGTAATAGGCGGATGATGCTGTGCTGTTATTGATGATCTTATATGCTGTATTATACAATATTGTTGTGCTCTAGAATGATGAGCTGAGTTGTGAGTAGTAGGCTGTGTTGAGTACTACTTAGCTGTGCTGTAGATTGTGTTGCTGTGCTGTGTTGTTTATTGCTGAGCTGAATGTTGATAGCCACTATTGTGGTGCTGTTATAGCTGTCATGTCGGTGTCGTTAGCCACTATTGTGGTGCTGTTATAGCCGCTATGTCGGTGCTGTTAGCCACTATTGTGGTGCTGTTATAGCCGCTGAGCGGTGCCGTTATTATTGAATTACTGAAATGTAGAAAGAGCTGTACTTGTGTGCTGATAGTTGCTATTCATACTACCATATATTTTTACGTCAATTTTTAATTACACTAGCTTACCCTTTGTTGTTTCCATGATGTTTGGACTGTGATGATCATACTGTGTATGGGAGCAGAGCAGGGATAGGTCTGTAGCTGACAGTTGGAGCGGATCCTCTTGGGATGTTTTGTGTCTTTTGTTGCTTAGCTACTGGTGTAGCAGTTGATGATGTATTTTGTTGTACACTTTAACCCTGTTCAGATTGGATCATGTATATGTATATTCTAGACTCTATATGTATACAGTTGTTCTTTTCTGTTCGGTGTTTCTAGTGTGCGGTGTCGCGTGTAGTGACCAGCCGTGTCGTTACAAACAATATGCTACATGTTTATAATTTATATTTTTTTGGTTAGTTTCCTATAATTCATAGACATATATTTTGCAGTGTAATTGTGAAAGCTCTCAAGGTGGATAGTTTGCAAAAGTTTTGCTCATGTTTAGAACCTATTCTTCGTAGAGTTATAAGACAATTGGCTTCAAATTACTTTCACACTATTTACTGCTCTATGTATACTGTTTCTTAACTTAGATAGATATATATATCCTGTTATTTGACTCACTACATTGTATGATTTTTTTCTTTATTCAGCACAAGTTTCTATTTCTATTACTTATTCTGTTGCAATGTTCTGTTCATCATGCTCACTATTTTTCTCCTTGGTTTCTACTATCTCTAACATTAGCTCGTTGTTTTTAATTATTTTAGCTCTTTCAGCATTGTCATAAATCCCCTCAAGGTCTAAACTCTTGCAGGGCCGGCCCTGATCTAATGCCACGGTAGCCCCCAACTAAAAGCAGAACGTGAATTTGAATAAGGAATAGACGGAGAAATCATAGAAACTAGTACAGGTGATGATTTCATTTATAAAAATATGTATGCACACGTTCATTTTTTTTCTACCTCATACCATATTTTAAAATGCAGCTAATTCCCAGAAGGAATATTCTTTATTTTTAGGATGCTATACTTCATTGTTTTTTATTAGTAAAAAAACTAAGAATTATCTTCTAACAAACATTGGTACACATAAGCCAGTGTAGATGAGTTCTGAATTGAACCAACTTTTTCTGGTTTATGGTTGACTGAGGAGTTGAGGGCGCTTTCTGGTTTCTCATACAATGGATCAGTGACATTGTTGGCTTTGGTTGTTATTTAATTTTCAATTCTAACTGCTTGTAGATTGTTATCTTGCAAGTCCCTTTTTAATTATGTTATGTATGATATATCTGGTGGGAGACTATTGCAAATTTGGATGTGCACCTTTTATTGCTTCCACTCACCTTTCAGTTACAGTAACTTAATGATTTAAGCCATGAACTTTTTTAAAAAAAAATTTGCCTAGCCAAAACAGTTTCTGACTCAGCTGGGTGTTATCTTCTGTATTTAAGTTGACCAATAAAGCTAGTTAAGCAGATTTATTTTGTGTTTCTGTATTTCTCATACTGATCTATTTAATCTTTTCGGTATATTTCGCAGAGACTTGCAATCTTATTTTGCAGATCTTAGCATTTTCCTCGCAAATGATAGTAAAAAAATGTATATTTTGGTTGACAACAGACCATGGTTGACAACAGACCTTGGTTCAAGGGGAGTACACATTTGGCAATTGATGGTTACTAAGGTTGGTAAACTCAATTATTTGAAGTGATTTTCATGTAGTTGTTGTCTTAGAATAATAGTTTTTTTTAATCATTTTGATGTATTTGCAGTCAAGGTTATCTCCCTTTGTATATTCCAAAGCTCGAAGAGAGAGAAAGGGAGGCAAGGAGGTTTGTCCTCGATCAAGCTTAAGTAAACCAAAGGAATTTAAGGAATTTATGAGATGGTTCTCGTTGATTGAAGCAGTGATGTCATCAAGAAAATACATTTGCAAGTTACACATTTGCAAGTTACTTGTCGGTGAACTGTTCAATAAAATACACTCGAAGCCAAGGTGGAGCTCATAATCTTGGCTTGTTTATTCAATGAATCCAAGTTTAAATTTTCAGATTTTTGGTTCACTCCCTGATTTAGGGCTCAAGCCAGCCGACTTATTCAATTATAAGCAAACAGTTCAAGTAGTTAAAAGTGGCCACTGGCTACCCTAAGTTGAGTGAAGTATGAATGACTCAAATGAACTGCACACGAGCAGTATATTTATTTTTTTGACCAAAAAATAGAGAATAGTATAATACTGTTTGCAAGCTAATTTGATTTTTAACTGACACGGGTACATACATAACGATAAAAGGAAAGAGTAGATATTCTTTTTAGTAAATATAAAGAATGAGGTTAATAGTGAAAGTTATAAGAATTGTGAACTTGCAGGGCATCATAATATTAAAAAAAATATAAAAAATTATCTTCGATTTTTCTTAGGAAATTTACTTGCGAATTTGAAATTTTGCAGAAAATTTACCTACAAAATTTTAATTTTGCAGAAAATTTTCTTGGGAAATTTTAATTTTGCAAGAAATTTACTTGCAAATTTTAATTTTCGTGGAAAATTTCTTGCAAAAATTTTGTGGATTTTAAAATTTGTAGGATATTTTTTGCAAATTTTTTAAGAATTTTTTTCCCACAAGAAAGTTTGCTGCCATTTTTTTTTTGCAAGAAAGTTTTCTATAGATTTTTTTTATAGCAAAAATCATAAGAATTTTTTTTGTGAATTTTGAAATTGGCAAGAAATAATTATCCACGAAGGTATTAGCTGCGAAAATAAATTTGTAGAAAAATTCGCAAAAAACTTATTTCCTATAAATTTTAATGAAAAATTCCTAAAAAAATCCTTAGGTAATAGAAAAAATTCTAGTAGTGTGTGCTCCACAACAGAACATCATATCTCCACGTCAGGTACATAAATAAGATTGTGAATGCCAATTTTCTGAATCACAAATGACCTTTTTGTTGGCAATCTGACAATTGATTACATTGTGGTTGATCTAAAATGTTTATTAACTAAATTTTGGGTGATCCATTTCTTATTTGCTAAAACAAAGACTTATAGCAACGTAATTTACAAAGTCCACCTTCTGAGATGGGACTATTGACAATAATGGAGTTTGAACACATCTTAAGTAATTTACTTTAATAGATAAAAAAAATATTGGACCTTTTATAAATGTTGGCTCGAATTTATGAGGTCAAATTCTTGATAAAAAGCAACTAAAATTATAACTGTGAAAAAGAATCAACAATCGCAAAGCTTGGTGAATACTTTGGCAATAAAAAGAAAGATGTTTATATATGAATAGAACATGGACATCAAGTATTCGGATTTAGATTTTTTAAAATCTTTATAAGTAGAAAAACAAGAAAAAAAAATTCAATCACATAATTCGTATCTCTTTAGGTTCTCGCTAATATACTATATTCAAATTCCAATTTACATTCGTATTTTTGTTTATTTCATTTCAAAAAACAGTGTCATGTAACATAATATGTTTCCAATCATATGTTGCTACTATTATTTGTTTTTATTAAGTAAAAGACGATCTTAAATATCTCAAACTCTCAAGTTTTAATGATAACAAAAAAACTATTTTTTCAGGAGGAAATATTTTCGTAAAATACTCATCAAATGTAATATAAAATGCAATTCGTTAGAGAGACTAATGTCATCAGACAAAGCATACAATCTATTTTTATAAAATTTTAAATATCTATCATTTATAATGATTAATGATTACATGTTACATGTCTGAGTGATTCCTTAACAAAATCAAATTAAGAAAGATCTTTGAAACTTACAAATCTGTTAAAAAAATGAAGTCATGCTTTGCACTAGAGTCAAGGACAAACGAATCCTGGAAATCACGGAGAAAGTCAACAAAAGTTGATGCAAAATATGTTTACCATTGACACGCTCAACAAATAATTTGTTGAGTAACTTAAAGATAATAAGTAGTCTCTTTGATCAGATAAGAAGTGACAATTTGGTAAAACACGTTTAATTGTGAATTTTCTTATGATAAGTAACCTTCTACATGTCATTCATGATGTCTCTGAATTTTTTTATGAATTTATAAACTCTAGAAGTACTTGATTGTGATTTTTTATTAAAATTTTAGAAATCTATAGTTTATGTGTGATATAAATTTTGCAAAATATATATGATGCTTGAAGACATATGAAGAATACCTTAGAGTTTTCCTATAATATTATAAATTGATTTGATATTAATTTATGAATTCATGGTGTAAGTTCTATTTCTACCAACGATGATAAATAATTATGAAAATGGTATTTGTTGTTAATCATAAATCATGAAAAAATTATATGTACACAAAATGATATTAGTTATGACCTTAGTGAAATATCGGCCGATTGACCATTGTAGGGCAGTTTTTAAAACTAATTACGTAAATGAGGTGTTTTGAAACTATTTACGCCTTTGGGACACTTTACTACAGTGTCGCTATGAACCATAGCGACACCAGTGCCACGTGTAATTTTTTTTTTGAAGCCATGAACACCATATTATTAAAGTCGCTACAGTTAGTAGCACTTCATATAAAGTCGTTATAGCCTATAACGACACAAAACGACTTCATATAAAGTCGTTATAGCCTATAGTGACACCAATTAATTTCATTTTATTAAAAAAATTTATTTAACATTTTAGTATATAATATGTTTAAAAAAAATATGATTTATTTAAATTTTTTATAATGTATAATTATAATTTAAAAAAATGATAAAATAAATGTGGAGAAAAAAAAACATGTGGAAAAGAAAAAAAAGGAAAAATATAAAAGATAAAATTAACTAAAGAAAAAAAATGTAAGAAAAACGAAAAAAAAGAAGTATAAAAAAAATATTTAAAATAAATGTAGAAAAAGTATAAAAAAAAAAAAAAGGGAGGTCGATATGGCCCATAGCGACACAAGGTCGTTGTGGGCCCTAACGCCTTTGGTAATCCATAAAAAATATATAAAATTGATTTAAAAAATATATAAAATATAAAAGGAAAAAAATAAGAGAAGACAAAAAAGTAAAAATAACGAAGAAAAAAAAAGAAGTATAAAATAAAAAATTTAAAAAAATGATACATTAAATGTTGAAAAACTATAAAAAAAAAAAAAGACATCGCTATGGCCCATAGCAACCTCAGTTTTTTTTTTGGACTATCTAGAGTCGTTGTGGGACAAAGCGATACAAGGTCGCTGTGGCCCACAACGACCTCAGTTTGTTTTAATTTTTTGTTTTTTTTGTCTACTTAGAGTCGTTATGGGCTATAGCGACAAATAGTCGCTATGGCCCATAGCGATCTCAGTTTTTTTTTTTTCAAAAATTTTATTTTTTTAGTCATTGGGTCATTTTTTTTCTCCAGATTTATTTTACTAGTTTTTTTTTAAAAAAATTTATTTTGTAATTAATTTTTTTTTTCTACATTTTTTCCCTTCACTTATTTTGGGTTATTTTTTAAAAATCTTGTGTTTTTTAATTATTTTTTCTCCAGATTTATTTTCCCATTTTTTTTTAAAAAATTATTTTATAATTCATTTTTTTTCTTCTGCGTTTTTTTTTACATATTTCTTTTTTTAAGCCTTTTTTTATTTTTTTTCCTTCAATTAATTAAAATACATCTGGAAAAGGATAAAAAAAAGGAAAAATATAGAATATCAAATTAACTGAACGAACAAAATAAAAAAAAAATAGAAAATAATATCTATAAAATAAAATTTTTAAAAATAATATATAAAATAAATCTGGAAAAACTTAAAAAAAAAATAAAAGGAGAGGTCGCTATGGCCCATAGCGACATTGTGTCGCTGTGTCCCATAGCGACATTGTGTCGCTGTGTCCCATAGCGACATTGTGTCGCTATGGGCCCCAGCGCTTCCAATAAATATATAAATTTTATTTTAAAAAATGTTATTTTGTTGTAAAAAAATTATTAATATATTTTTAAACATCAAGTTTTAAAAAGAAATATATTTTAAATTATATTTTTTTATTAAAAAATATTTTTTTATTATAAAATTGAGTCATTTTAAATGGTTTAGGAGCCTATAGCGACACTACCTAAGTCGCTACAGCCGGTAACGACTTCTACTTGGCTAAATTTAAGCCGTTCTCAATTTAAAAAAAAAATAACAGGTGACAATGGTGTCGCTATGGGCCTTAGCGACACTATAGAAAAGAACCCCAAAGGTGTAAATAGTTTCAAAAGAGCCTCGTTTAAGTAATTTGTTTTAAAAACTATCCTAAAATAGTCAATCAACTGTGAAATATCTCAAAATTTAAAGAAATTTTACTATTTTAAAAAAATATCAATCCTTGTTTTACAAAAATAGTTCAACAAAGATATTTAATTCAAAGATAATACTTAAGAGTTGAATTTTAGGTATCTAAATTTATATGATGCAATATATGTTGTTTGAAATATCCCTAAAATGTCTTATGTGTTTGAAAGTTGGTTTAGTTTGTCTAATAATTTTTATGCATGTAATTCGGTGTATGTAAAATTATAATATTTGATTAGATTAATTATCTTTAGAGCATTATTAGATTATTTACAACTCATGGTAGATATATTATGCCCTAAAGAAAGATCTATGAATATTATTAGGAATTATTCAATTTTTTGTGATTTAATCTCATTTAATTAGCAAGTTTGAAACTTGATTTGTTGTTGAAAATATGTGATATTTTTGTGCACCTATGATATTGGAGAATATGTGAATTATGATAAGTGATTGAAAAGTCTTAGTGAAACTTAGATTTGATGGGAATTGTGAAATGTGAATTCATGTGATATGTGGAAGTGATTGTATAAATAAGTCTAAGTATGAAGTGAAATGTGTAATATGGTGTGATGTGAACATGATTTGTTGGTTGTGCATAAGAGTCTATGTGTGACATTCATCATTTGTATAAAAGTGTTTTTCGTGTGATGGGTACGATGTGAAATACACTACTAGGGAAAGTGCCCCTCGTGTAAAAACTTAGGAATTCCATGAGCTTGGAGATAGATAGGTTTG